ATAAAGGGTTAACAATATCAAAACTGGAATCTTTACAGTAACAAAAATTTCACAAGTCTTTAAATATAGTGACCAAAGTAAAGAGAGATATGCCTTACATTCATAAAATTAAACATGAAGTAGAGGCATTCTTATTTATCTTTGAGAAACAACAAAATATGATAAGAACTAAAATACCTCTTTTGTGACTTCTACCTTCATGTATACTTCCAAAGTCTTATATTACTTATAGGTGGAGTTTTGGGCAATGATTGGATCATGGGTGTGTGATACTAGATCATAGTCGTGTGATAGATTTATACCTGGATATAATACATAATGATGAGAGGTGGAGGATTGGCCCGCTATTAGGCTTATAGCTGGATATGATTTTGGGAGGTGAAGCCTGGCAGGAAGATGGGAAGAATAAGGTTGCTATCTGTGTGAAGTGGAAAAATGTAATAATTTATGTATTACATGAGCCTTCCTTTTTGTTATGCTATGAACTGCCTCTCCTCTGCCATGCTGCCCTATCCTGGAACCAGGCCAACTATGGACTGAAACCTCTACAAACCATGAGTAAAACAGAGGAAAGTGATCAGTGAAGTAGAGTGTGCCTAAGCAGAGTCTCATTGAGAGAAAACATTCTCTCAAGCTTCCACAGAGAGCAAATTCATCAAGCAATGGCCATGACTCATCCACATGGCTGACACTGACAAAGGATTTACAAACTGTGGTACAGGGTTTCAGGGTAAATCCTGAGGGGATCTGACTGACCTCATCAGATACAAAAGTTATGTTTCTTGCTATATAGATCTTGCTTTATCTTGGTCTTAACCATCCAGCAGAAAAGTATAAAAAAGTATAAACTGTAAAGCCATATTCATATGCTGAGCTGTAAAAGGCTCAAGTCAACAACTTCTGACATTGCCTGTCCTATGGAAAAACCACTACTCTTATGAACTACTGGACTGTATTACAATGTTTTGTTGAAAGCACACACCTACAATATTTAATTAGCAATGGAATACTCATCTCTGTCAAACCTAAAGAAGAAAAATAGGATAAAGGACCATTTTGTATCTGTATATACAAAATAGGATAGATATACATCTACTTTCTCTTAATTCAATGAGAAGAAAGATTTGTACTAATAGTGTTTGAACAGGATATCATGTCTGTATCTTGTACTATGAATAACCACTACAAAGACAACAATATGCAATGTATTAATTATTGAAACTATCCTATTAATCAATTTGGAAACTGTCTCATTGCTATTTGTTTCTCAAAAAAAATTAATAGCCACATTTTTCCCAAGGAATGGACATTAGTATTGATATTCTAAATAATTATTAATCACCTTGAAAGAGCCCAAATAAGTCACTAACCCAACCCCCAACAGGAAGAGACCCTGTACCAAATTCATGCCTGCTTGCTATGTGACTTGCTTCCCCATTTGATTCCAATTTAATCAATTTTATCTGATCAATGGTGCTTGTAATCTCATTGGTTGACCAAGGTTTTGCCCCATCTCATGCCCAACTGATCGAGTTCCCGTGTTCTTCATCACCTTAGACCCATCTCACCACATGGTTTTACTCTATAAAAGTCCCTGGAATAGGCAAGATTCCTGGGGAATACCCACTGAGGGGTTCCCCCTCCTGTCCCTCTCTCTGACAGGAGTTTTCTTCCCCCTCAATGAATATATTCTGCTCATAACCTCTGTTTGTTCCTAAAATTCACTCTTAGGTTTTAGAGAACACAATCTCATCCCAGATACCTTTCAGGTCCAGCGTTTCATTTTTTCCCTATATCATTTGGAGGTTCCCTGTATCATTATCACTTATAATTAATGTGGTACTAGAGGTTATAGGAATTATACACTGAAAAATAGGAAAAAGCATTCATAACTAAAAGGAAAAATTAAAAATGTCTTTTCCCTCAGATTACATTTTTGGTACTGGGAACTGAACCCAAGACCTGCACACTGAACTATATCACAGCCCTTTTATTTTCATAAAGGGTTTTGCCAAGTGGCTAAATTCCCTAAGCTGGGCTCCTATTTGTGATCTTCCTATTTCAGTCTCCCAATGAGCTGGGATTACATGTGTTTACCACCACTCCCAATCAAACTACGCATTTTTTTTTGGTAAAAGCTCTCATTACTAAATTGTGACTCATATTCATCCTCTTATCTCAGCCTCTCCAGCACTGGGATTAGAGGCATGCACCACCATGCCCAGATTTGGTGGCAGGCCCAGCTCATCCCAGGTTCCAGGGCCAGCATGGAAGTATGGAACTCAGATCCTTGTGCTTGCCAGGCAGACACTGACTACTGAGCTACCTCTCCAGCCAAGATTACATATTCTTCTACTGAAAAAATGCTAAAGAATTCACAATCATCTATTAACATAAATAAATGAGCTTTACATCTTTGAAGAAATCATTATTTATGCTGACAATAAATATTTCTCAGGGCTGGCCAAATAGTTCAGCGGATTAAAGCCCCTGCAAGCAGGCTCAGAGACCCTCAGTTCAATCCCTGGGCCTGCCATGCTGGCCCTGCTGCAAGGACAAGCTGAGACAATGCTTGAGACTGGGCATGGTGGCATGCGCCTGTAATCCCATCTCTTGGAAGGCTGTAAATAGGTGGATCACCACGAGTGTTATCTTGTAGTGAGACCACAAACACCCTGTACACCTTTCCCTAAAATACAAAAAAAATTTTTTTCTGCACACGTGGAATGAGAAATATGATCAGGCAATTAAGAAAGAAAATTACTTATGGTACCATCAAAAATAATGATTTAGAAATAAATTTGGTAGGGAGATAACTCAGTGGAATATGTGCTTGCCTAGCAAGTGTAAGGTCCTGAGTATCGAACCCTAGATAAATTTAACAAAGAAACTGTCAATTACATAACAGATGAAACAATACTGGAGAACAATTTGCTATGAGTTTGACTCATCTCTTCCATGTGTAAGAAGACATAATAAAACATACACTGTGAAAACAAACATTATATTTAAGGGCATTTTCCCAATATCATTTCTAAAATCAAAGTGAGAAAAAACTCCATGTGCACAGAGAGAAGTATTAGTGAAATGAACTTGACATAATACAATCATAAATCGATAAAATAGGTATATATTTTCTCTTAAAATGTACTTGAGATATTTTCAAACAGAAATTAATTTATAATGTTTTAATTGATATAACCGCTTAAAATATGCCTTGAAAAGAGTTGATGAAGTATCATTTCATTAAAATTAGAGATGCAGAATATAGCTATAGAGATGAATAGAAGGGCAGATAGAAAAATAGACATAAAACAAAATAATGTCAGTGCTCATCATCAAACATTAAGATTTGGGATATTGTTTATTTTTCCATCTGCTCTTCTAATCCATATTAAATATGCAAATAAAGTTTAGTATTCACAAAGACAACATCACTGATAGATGGGATTCAGTAGAAGTTTATGTTGACAAGAGTTACAATTGGTTAAATTATGTGAGAGACAGTAGCTTTCAGAACACATTAGAATATTGTTAAAATAAAAACGTGAGCATTTCATAAAATTTTACAAATTACATTTTTAATTAACTTCTTGTCTGAGGTAAGTGGACAAATAATAGATTGTCTTATTTATAAAATATTGAAAGAGATTGATATATTTTATGTACTGAAAAATACTTCATTGAAAAGACAAAAAAGCAATTCTAGAAACTATATGTACTGATAATATTTCATAGCCCAAATTAGTCTAAAGAAAAATACTAAGATTACTTTTAAAACACAAAGATGTTCTGTATTTTCATAGTATTCTTTTTCAACTGTATTTGAATGTAGACAATAAAAAACACTTCCCATAAAACTCATGGAAACTGAATATGTTAGCATATATCTGGGTATAGTTAATGTTGTACATAAAATTTAAAAATTATTTTTATGTTAGGATATTAGAAAAGTTGCCTTTGCTACTTCATTATATTGATCTAGAACAAAGTAAGAATGAATGTTGTAGACAACAATACCATGTGGGGAACATGGGTGCAAAAACCCCACAAAACCTACCCCAATGTACCACATTTAGTAATGACGACATTTTTTCGTATCCCCTAACATCCGAACTTGTTCGCTAGGCCTTTATTTTTTCCATCTAAAAGTTAAACAGCAGATTAACACTTTTCCTAAAGTAAAATTAATAATTCAGTAAAACTAACATTATTAAAATACCCATTATTCAGGGCAGTAAAGTATTAGTGAGTAAAAGCATCAATATAACAATGTGGAAATATTTTTTGAAGTTTTCATATCAGAATCTTGAACCCTGACAGTATTGATTGGAAGGATTGTCTTGTTTGGAAGGATGCTGCAGGAGCATACTTTTGACACATGTGTAGAGAGAAGCTCTCTCCTTGGTACTTTCATTTCAAAAGCTATGAAGCAAAAGCACAACAGAGCTCACTCCTGAAACACAGGCAGTGGTGCCCTTACCTTCTCGACATATTCCAGCTAAGGGGTTTTCTTTGATTTTGTTAGTTTGCTTTAAAATCACTCAATGTCAAAGAACAATGTAAAATAAGTCAGTATCATAGCAATTCATACTAAATATTTGCAGCAGGTCTTTGGGAATTTCAAGTAGTAATTTCAAGACCATTAAGCATATACCACTGAAATACAAGTACAAATCATATGCTAGACTGAATATAAGTGAAGCTTTCAGTAAACTTATACTTTCTACTCCAGAAAACTATGCAACATCTTGAATTTTCTGGAAGACACAACAGAGGGTCCAAACTCATCAGATTCTGCTGCTTCTGAGACATTGTGCAGTCGTGAACCACACACCGTGAGAGATTATTTTGTTAAAATTAAGGGTGTAGATAGGCATGCCTACAGGCAGAAAAAGATCCATTACAAAGTATTTAGGTGAGGTTTGATACATTTTGGTTAGCATTATCCGTAGCTGCACTATTCTCCACAAATATAAGTAATAAAATCCCAAACTTACTATTTTGGGAGAAAATATGACACCACCTTCTAGAACTGAGTTTTCTTCTAACTCCAAAAAATATTTACGAGGTGCATCAGGATTTGTGAGCTGTCCTACAAGAGAGGAAAATGCATATATACAACAATCAGTTGTAAATCAAAAAACACCATTATTAATGTGAAAATATAAACTGAGTAATCTCATTATTGTATTCACACTATAAAAAGCACCTACTGAAAAATCTTGGTAGGATTGCTATACAATGTTACTACATAACCAATCACTCTTAACCTCAAGATTCTAAAAAGCAAAACTAATATCCAGTCATAAAACATAAACAAACTCAGTAAATCTAAGACAAATTTATCTTACAAAACTTTCCAGGTTCAAGAGACATACTAACATCATATGGAGGTGAACGTAGAAAGGCCTAAAAGGCAAGGTTAAATCATCATATTGCTGGTCCCAGAAGAGTCAGGGACTATTTTTATGGTAAACATGCACCAGAGAAGATCCAGATCACTTCTGGTGCTCCAAAGAGTTATAAAAAGACAAACATATATGTATCACCTCATTTTTCCTTTTTTTTGTTTGTGGTGACAGATTTGAAATTTACTCCCAGCAATTTTGAAATTTAGAAAAATCCTGCTTTTCTCCCTAAAGTATTCTCATCAATCCAAGGAATCCTACTAATTTAAATTTTCCTTGTCTGGGAATAAACTTCATTTTCTTTTTCTTTTTGCAGTACCGGGGATTTTACTCAAGATCCTGCGCTTGCCAGGCAAGCTCTTATTCTACTGAACTATCTCCCCAGCCCTAAACTTAAATGTTTTATTGTATCCTCTCTTCCTCCTCAATTTCATTCATCTTTGGTATAAAGGTGAAACATTTAAATAACAACAAAAATTAATTCAATATATATAAATACATTGTGAGTTGGAAGGAAACACCATTCTAAAATAAAGAGTTACAATAAAGAATATCCATCTAGGATGCACACATACATGAAACATAATTTAAACCACTATTCATAGAACAGAAAAATAACAAACAAAAATAGATATGTGGATAGACAGAAAGATAGGTTCAGGACATATTCTCAGATTACCTACTGTGTTCATAGTGCTAAACTGAACCTCTTTGGTAGAAATAAAAAATATAAATATAGTTCTACCTTGTAATCTAGTAGGGTGTGAACATGTACATTACCCTTTGAGACCAAGCAGAATTTAATTAGTGATATAATAAAAAATACACAGTATCCTAATATAACAAAGTTAAAAAGAAATAATTGAATTCAACCATAAGGTTATGAGTGCATATGAGAACTATTATTGGAAACAAAGCTAGCAAAACGTTTTTAGAAAACTAGGTTATTTATATTTGTTTTGTTTGCATTATGCTTCCTATTCACTAAATGTATGTTGTTACTGCATATTACTTATACAACATAATGGGCTTCATTTTTCATATTCATACATGTATGAGTATATGAAATACTTTGATTATATCAAATCTCTCTTGAAAAGCTTTTTAAGTGGAGGAAAAATGTGACTAGATCTTTAATGTAACAAGACTACTCTGTGAAATAGATGTAAGCAAGAGGACTTAGAAACAGCAAGTTTCGAGTCCTAGCCCAGGTCTGGTGAGTGTGCGGAGAGCATCCTGCTAACCTGCGCCAGTGGGACCTGTCCCAGCCCAGGCACAGCGTGGGCCGGACCCTCTCCCACCCCCTCGGGCTGCCCCCAACACTCCACAGTACCTCCCCCATACCACCCACAGAGTAGGAATTTCTGCGGACTTCCGGGAACCCCCAGACCCAGTCCTAGCCCAGGTCCGGTGAGTGTGTGGAGAGCTTCCTGCTACCCTGCGCCTGCAGGACCAGTCCCAGCCCAGGCGCAGCTTGGGCCGGACCATCTCCCACCCCCTAGGGCCGCCCCCCACCACTCCGCAGAACCTCCCCGACCCCGCCCTCAGAGTAGGAATTTCTGCCGAATTCCAGGAACCCCCAGACCCAGTCCTAGCCCAGGTCCAGTGAGTGTTTGGAGAGCTTCCTGCTACCTTGCGCCAGCGGGACCTGTCCCAGCCCAGGCGCAGCAAGGGCCGGACCCTCGCCCACCCCCTCGGGCCGCCCCTCATCACTCCGCAGCACCTCCGCACGCCGCCTGTCCAGTAGGAATTTTGCGGTGTTCTGGGAACCCCCGGACCCAGTCTTAGCCCAGGTCCAGTGAGTGTGTGGGAGAGCTTCCTCTTCCCCCTACTTTACCTTACCCCCTCCAGGCACAACTCAGGCCTGGCATATATGCCTGAGGTGTAACCCTGCAGCTGCAATCCCTGCAGAGAGTGAAGAGGATAGTTCCACCTAGCTAGTCCAGGAGCAGAACATCTTGCCACAGGGGCACAACATATTCACCCTCAAGGGCAGCAGCGGGAAGGAGCTCAACACAGCAACCAGACCTAAGCCAGACGCAGCTGGATAAGTCCAAACTTTGTAGAGCTGCACCTGAACTTAGTACGTGCGAAGGTTATAACTACAGCAAAGATCTACAACAAAGGCCAGAATACAGTGCTACACAAAATGACAAGGAACAAAATGCAACCTCAGAACCAAAGCCCACCCATAACAAGTGCAGAAGACACTAACACAGAGCAAATTGGAAATCACACAGCTGAAAGCAATGAATCAACAGCTTCTGAAATAAACAGCTGCAGAAAGATATATAAGACCTGAGATTTCAAATGAAAAAAGAAATCCCTGAATTAATAACATCTGCACTAAAGAA